ATGGCAGAGATAAGGGTTTCTTAGAAGACCAGATAGGACATTTGTATCTCAAAGGTTTCCCCTTTGTTTAATACTTAGCTTAGGGGAGAAGGCCTCTTTTAAAATTCCTATCAGGCTAAAGTCCATTTCCCAAAAGCGGCCTGCCTCGTTGCCTCGATACCGATGCAGTTCCTGGTGTTGTGAGTTGGCCCCTTGGTTTACTTGTGCACAAGTCACACATTGCCTAGTGACTGAGAATACTTTTTCTTTTAATACCTGCCTTAACTGTCTCTTCTCAGTTTATAAGTTCTTCCCTTCAAAACCATCTAATTTTTGTAATTTCCTTCGGATATCTGGGGCCGACTGTGTCACAAAGGCCAAGTTAATTGCCCGCCTGCCTGTTTTTTTGTGCCTCAGGGTCTATGGGGGTCCATAGCCTATAAGTCTCCATCAGCCTTTCCAGGAAGGCGGCTGGAGACTCTGTGGCTCCCTGGGTCACCTCTGTAACCTTGGACATATTAGTTGGCCTTCGTGCTGCCGCCCGAAGTCCTGTTAACAGAGCCTGGCGAAAACGGGCCAAAGCCCCTCGTCCCTCCTCCGTGTTAGGATTCCATTTCGGTCGGGTACTAGGGAGCACGGTTTCAATTAGGTTGGGGTTATCAGTGGGCCGTCCATCTGGACCAAGTACCTGTTTACGGGCCCCCCACATGATTTTTTTTCTTTCTTCCGTGGTAAACAAAACCTGTAACAATTGCTGACAATCATCCCAGGTCGGCTGATGAGTTACAAATATAGTTTCTAACAGTAATATTAATATAAATCAGTCGTGGAGAATGGGGCATAAGTAAGAAAAGGCTGTGCCTCCCCTGGACTAGGTGCTTGTTCCCGCAGAGGCACAGCAGTGGGCCGCGGTTCAGTCAAGTGCTCCTTGGTCGACCTGGGAGGATGTCGTCATCGCGGCCGGTATCCGCCTCGGGAGGGACATAGGGAGGGGGAGGTGCAGACGCCTCGGGAGGAGGGGTTTCTTCTTCTTCCTCTCCCTCCCCTACAAGAGGAGGGGGAGGGGACTTAGAGCTTTTAACATTAGGTTTTTTATTGTCCCCCATCTTGGCGGCACATATGTTATCTTTAGATCTTATTTCCTTTCTGTTGGTAGTTCCTGGCGGGGGCAACCAGGGCCTCAGCCAGTCAGGTGGTGTCTCCACGAGACCCTGACAACACTCAGTATAAAGAATCTGATCATCATGTGCCTTAAAGACAATATCTTCCACCGCATCTATAACCGGAATAAAGAACGTACCTTCGGATGGCCATCCCACCTCAAATGTCGGCCATTCCAATTCACAAAAGGTGCGGAGGGTTTCCGGGGATACAGAGGCCCCGAATTCCCTGGCGATCTGGTGGAAGTCTCTGAAGTGGTCCAGAACTAGGCTCAGGGGGGGGCTGCATCCGGGACATACCTTGTCCCATTGCTAAATTTCTGTTGAGCTAAAGGTTTTAGCACAAGCACAAAGCCAAAGTGTCCAAGCAAATGCAAAAGCACACACACGAGTGACAAAAGACAGAAGGGGAGAACAACAAGTGTTGACACAATCCCAGTTCAAAGTCGGGATCAAAGAATATCGAAACCGACTTTGAATTCCCAAGGAGGAATCGCGGCGTCCCATGACTCCTCCTGACTCCAGGCTTAACGTCGCGTCCGACAAGCCTTAATGGAGTCTCCTAGTTTCTTGCCGGCAAGCCAAGGGTCGCAAACTTACCCGAAGAAGGAGCAGGCGGTGGCTTCGGAGGAGGGACCCTGTTTCAGGTCTTTAACCTCCACTGTCCGATCCCGGACGAGCCCCCAAATGTTGCGGTCCAGGAGCCACACGCCTGGAGTCAAGTTCCCCGGTAAATGCGACCCGTGTCCCAACCAAGGACACCCGAGAATCACCAACACCAAGCAGAAAGATTAGCAAAGGATTTATACAAGTACAAGTATAGAAGCTTACACAAACTGTCCGGACAGGATCCCACTCAGAGAGAAGTGAGTGAGACCCCGACTAACAGTCAGGGTAGGCCTTTATACCCTTCACAGGACGGGAAGTTCCCAAGGCGGGAGGGAGCTGTTTAATTTTGAATCAGCCGATCAGGAACCCAGTTCTTCCTTCCCCAAGCAAGTAAGCAAAGCAAGTTTCTTACAGAAGTCAAAATGTACTGTTAGCCCTGAAGCTGTTCTTCCGTTTCTTTCGTCACAATATCAAAAAACCAAACAACCCAATCCAAAAATGGGCAGAAGACCTAAATAAACATTTCTCCAAAGAAGATATACAGATTGCCAATAAGCACATGAGAGAATGCTCAACATCATTAATCATTAGAGAAATGCTAATCAAAACTACAATGAGATATCATCTCACACTGGTCAGAATGGCCATCATCAAAAAATCTAGAAACAAATGCTGGAGAGGGTGTGGAGAAAAGGGAACCCTCTTGCACTGTTGGTGGGAATGTAAATTGATACAGCCACTATGGAGAACAGTATGAATGTTCCTTAAGAAACTAAAAATAGAACTACCATATGACCCAGCAATCCCACTACTGGGCATATACCCTGAGAAAACCATAATTCAAAAAGAGTCATGTACCAAAATGTTCATTGCAGTTCTATTTACAATAGCCAGGATATGGAAGCAACCTAAGTGTCCATCAACAGATGACTGGATAAAGAAGATGTGGCACATATATACAGTGGAATATTACTCAGCCATAAAACAAAACGAAATTGAGTTATTTGTAGTGAGGTGGATGGACTTGGAGTCTGTCATACAGAGTGAAGTAAGGCAGAGAGAGAAAAACAAATACCGTATGCTAACACATATATATGGAATCTAAGAAAAAAAATGTCATGAAGAACCTAGAGGTAAAACAGGAATAAAGACACAGAGTTACTAGAGAATGGACTTGAGGATATGGGGAGGGGGAAGGGTAAGCTGTGACAAGGTGAGAGAGTGGCATGGACATATATACACTACCAACCATAAAATAGGTAGCTAGTGGGAAGCAGCTGCATAGCACAGGGAGATCAGCTCCGTGCTTTGTGACCACCTAGAGGGGTGGGATAGGGAGGGTGGGAGGGAGGGAGATGCAAAAGGGAAGAGATATGGGGACATATGTATATGTATAACTGATTCACTTTGTTATAAAGCAGAAACTAACACACCATTGTAAAGCAGTTATACTCCAATAAAGATGTTAAAAAATAAAAAGTGCTGCCAGTTAATGATAATACTTACCCCGATTTCAGGTGTGTTACAGTGTAAAAATATAAGCATTTGAAATATAATAAGATATGGTGGATAAAAAATAAATATCCTAAAGCCAAGTGTAAGTTATTTTTGAATTATCTGCTATTTTGGATCATCAGCTCTGCTACTAGCCATTATTATATTAGTTTGGATAATGGAAAGTTGACTGGTAAAATCTCTTTCAGAGTAAAAGATCTGCTGAAACGAGAGTTTGTTCACTTGTTGTATTGTACAACACTCAAAAACTACTGTTGGACTCAGGTGACATTTAAATATTGGAGCCTGTATTGGGGCAATTTGTGATGAATCATCTTTCACTCTTCCCCTGCCATGTCCATTAGTTCTTCTCTGTTAAACCTGAATAGATGCCTGCCCTCCTTGGAGGAAAGGTCTAAAGCCCCTCAACGAGTGTAGTAGTCAGTAGAAGCCTGCTTCCAAATGACGACCAGAAACTTCATGCAGTTACACTGGCTTCTGACGGCTATCTGTTTAAAAACAAATGGATATTACTGTTACTTGAAAGTATAATCTTCATTAGTACATTTATTTTATTAAAGGTCCGTATGCAAGGCACTGTGTGTGTGTAAAATACTCCCCAAAAATAATGCAATAGTTATCTCTTGGACTTCTCTAAATCTGTAAAAAGAAAAAAAGTCCCATCAAGTTTTAAAATACTTTCTTTAGAAGTCCAAGACACATTTGCAAAGTCTACTCATTGGTTTTATATAAATCTACTTCACTATTTTCTTTATTATATAGAAAAATTTACCTAAAATTCTCATGTGTATTTCCAAAATATAAAAGAACCTTTTTATACTGTTCTCATATTCATACTGTAGACCTATTTTATGGGTAAAATTGCCTTCTAATCTCCCTTTTGCTTACTTCTGCTTTGTAGCACAGAGATAATGTGGTTGTGTGTTATATAGAACACAACTCTTAATTAAACATAACTCAATTATGACCTGTATGAATATCTGATTTGAAGATCCAGTGTAATTAGAATAAAAAATTAAGCATATTTTGAGATTATGTTCAGATGTTAAGATAAATTATCTAATTTATGCCATGTTAAATAATAACATTTGATGAAGAAAAGGATAGCATATAGAATAAGAATACTAACTGTAATATATACCTGACCTAGCCTCTTCAGCATTTCAGCTCCAATACCTAGACCTTTTAAATAGATAATGCAAAATGAAAAAAACGTAAGTTGAAAAACTCCATTTAACAAGTTATTTGCTTTACTTTAAACCCTGTATCTGGTTGTTACATATTTGTAATAGCTTGTGTTGAAATTCAACTCATGAATATTTTTCATATCTCTTTTTCCTAATTGGCATGTGGTTCCAAAGGTAATGGAAAAGATTTTGGATTTACTTTAAAGATCAGTGAAGAGGAAATGTGTCCCTATCACTATCATCTTATCACAGAATATATTTCTTATTAATTTTAGACAAACCAACCCAAAATGTAAAAGCATGTTTTAAACATGAAAGTATAGCTTTCATAACTTGGCTTATTCAAGCCTTGATGGGAACTAATAAATCTTTTTCTAATCTGTGATTGAGTCTTCACCATATGCAAGGATAACTAGGATAGTGATCAGGCTCATGAAATAGAAATGAGTTACATAAACTAGCTTAAACACATTTATACTAACTCTCCTTAAATTAAAATATACCATTTTAATTTTTAAAGTATAAGTAATACTGTAAGTGTTACTTGACCTCAGTAAGCTTGTATGACATAAAAGTCCTCTAGGTAAAGTAACTTGCCAATCCAGGGGTCATATGTAACGTAGTACATGGCAAATCCAACAGTCACTTTGCCTAGGAAGAGGAAAGAGAGTGTATAAAGGTGTTAATGCTTTGAATCTTGTAATGTTCTTTCCTCCAAAATAACTATTAAAGTAATAAAAGCTTGCTGGACAAAATTTCAAGCAATAGAGAAATGTATAATGTAGAAGGTTTAAGTCCTTTATAATACAACCTTTAAGAGATAACCCATCTTTTAACAGTGTGGAGTATATTCTTCCTAAATTTTTTTTCTATGCATTTACAAACATAAGTACATACCATAAATTTTCTCTTAAAAACAAGACTCAGTTTATGTACTTATGCTCTTCTCCTCTGCTTAATAGTAATTATATGCTATCAAACTGTACTTTGTTTTCAGGATAGAGAAAATATACTCTAGATTAAATTGAAAAAGGAAGGTTTATTTTACCTAATGGTTTTTGATGATTGTGTACTTCTGCAATCAAGCAGTAGAAAAGGGGATGGTCCCCAAAGCCACCCCTGAGTACATCTGAAATATCAATTCACATAAAATATGTTAGAAAATTTACAGTAGAGAAAAGGAAGATGGTGGAGTTGGCAGCACCAGAATTCCTTTCTTCACCTATACAACAACTGTACTGGCATAAACTGCCTGAAGTGAATATTTTGGAACACTAGTGTTTATTTGAATACTTACAACTTCCAGAGGACAGCTTGGCTGGTAAACCGCAGTTAATTTTGGCAAAATTCAGCCATCAGCCCAGTGGTGGCTTCCAAGCACACACACCCCGACTCCATCATGCCCTACCTCATCTCACGGCAGACAGTTGTAGGGACTGCTGAGACTCCTGAATTGCTGGAGTGGATTGCTACTCTCAATGCTGAGGTGAGGACTTAGAGGTTGGCTGCTATTTTTCTAACTTCCACCAACTAAAGCAGCTTCTAGGAGATTTAAAGGAGCCACACCAGTTTTGTTAGACATTCAAAAACAACCATGTATACAGGAGAATCTAGAAAGCCACATGCATGATCAGGGAAAGACACAGACTTAGAAAAGATATTAAAATACCTTTAAACATTTAACTCAGATTGATCTCTGACACAGACACCCTATAACAATAAAAAACAGCCAACCCTGGGGAAGCAAGAGAATTTGATTTCAAGAGTTGACATATTATAAGATTAAAATGTCCAGTTTTCAACAACAAAAAATCACAGTGCATACAAAGAAACTGGAAAGTATAGCCCATTCAAAGGAACCAAGTAAATTAACAGAAAACATACCTGAGGAACCCCAGGTGTCAGACTTACTAAACAAAGACTTTAAAACAACTGTCTTAAAGGTGCTAAAAGAGCTAAAGGGTGACATGCACAAAGACAAGAAAAAGATGTATAAACAAAATAGGAATATCAATAAATAGAAATTATAAAAAAAGAATCCCCATCAAAAAACTCTGAAGCTGAAAAGTATAATAAATGAGAAGTGCACTCTAGGGGTTCAAAATCAGAATTTCTAAGCAAGCAGAAGAAAGAATGTGTTAATTTGAAGGTAGGACAACTGAAATTATCAAGTCTGAGGAACAAAAAAGATGAAGAAAAGCAAAGAGGCTAAGGTATCTGTGGAACACCATCAAATGGACCAAGATACAAATTATGGGACTCTCAGAAGAAGAGAGAGAAAGGAAAAAATATTTGAATAACAACTGAAAACTTCCCAGATTTGATGCAATACATCAATCTACAAATCCAAGTTCAACAAACTCCAAGTGGTATAAACCCCAAAAAGTCAACACCAAGACACATAATCAAACTGTTGAAAGACAAAGAGAAAATCTTGAAATCAGCAAGATTTCAAGTTACTTCAAGGCAGAAGTAACTTGTCACATACAATTGATCTTCAATAGGATTATCATCTGCTTTCTCATCAGAAACCTTGGAAACCAGAGGCAGTGGATTGATATACTCAAAGTACTGGGGACAGGGAAGGGGGGGAGAAGTGCAGAAACTTGTCAACCAAGAATTCTATATCCACCAAAACCAAACTGTCCTTCAAAAATGAAGGAGAGGGGGCTTCCCTGGTGGCGCAGTGGTTGAGAGTCCGCCTGCTGATGCAGGGGACATGGGTTCATGCCCTGGTCAGGGAGGATCCCACATGCCACAGAGAAGCTGGGTCCGTGAGCCATGGCCATTGAGCCTGCATGTCCGGAGCCTGTGCTCCACAACAGGAGAGGCCACAACAGCGAGAGAACCACACACTGCAAAAAAAAAAAAAAAAAAAAGGAGAAATTAACATATCCCCAGACTCATCCCCCCCTAAACAAAGAACCTGAGGAAGTTTGTTATCTCTAGACCTGCCCTGCATAAAATGCTAAAAGGAGTCCTTCAGGTTGAAATGGAAGGAAAATAGGTAGTAACTTAAAGCCATATGAAGAAATAAAGATAAAGGTAATGGTTCTTAGTTAAAAGTAAATACATGGGCAATTATAAAGAACTAGTGTTATTTTAAATTTGTTTGTAGTTCTTTTTATTTTCTACATGATTTAAAAGACAAGTGCATAAAATTAGTCATTAGTGTGTGTTCTTGGGCACACAATGTATAAAGATGTAATCTGTGACATCAGTAACATAAAAGGGGAATTGACATGTACAGGAGAAGAGTTTTTGTATGCTATTGAAATCAAGCTAGTATAAATTCAAATTTTATTGTTATAACTTTAAGATGTTAAATGTAGTACCCACAATAAAAGCAAAGAAAATGTCTATAGAATATACACATAAGGAAATGAGAAGGGAATCAAAACATTTTACTACAAAAATCAACTAAATACAAACGAAGGTAGCAATGTTGGAAGTGAAGGACAAAAAACTATATAGAAAACAAATAGGAAAATGTCAGAAGTCCCTCCTTATCAGTAATTACTTTAAATGTAAATGGATTAAATGCTTTAATCAAAAGAGAGGTTAGCAGAATGAACTTCTAAAAATGATCCAACTACATGCTGTCTGTAAGACACTTACTTTAGATTAAAAAAAAAAACACAAGAAGGTTGATAGTGAAATGATGGAAAAAGACATTTCATGAAAATAGTAATCAAAAGAAAGCTGGGGTGGCTGTACTAATACAAGACAAAATAGACTTTAAGTAAAAAACTCTTACTGAAGAGGATACTATATAGTGATAGAAGGTTCAGTTTACCAAGAAGATATAACATTTATAAACATTTATGCACCAAACATCAGAGCTCCAAAATATATGAAGCAAATATTGACAGAATTGAAGATAGAGACAGCTCTAAAATAATATTAGAAAACTTCATTACATCAATTTCAATAATGTACTGAACAAACAGACCACTGATAAATATGTTAATAGATTATTTGAACAAAACTATAGATCAATTGGACCTAACAGAAATATACAGTGCATCCCACCCAACAACATAATACACATTTTTCTTGAACTTTCCCTAGGATATATCATATGTTAGGCCAAAAAGCAAGTCTTAATACATTTTGAAAGGTTGAAACCATACAAAGTACCTTCTCCAATCACAATGGATTGAAACTAGAAACTGATAGAAGGAAACTAGGAAATACACAAATGTGTGGAAATTAAACAGTGCACTCAAACAACTTTGGCTCAAAGTAGAAATAACAAGAGAAATTAGAAAACAGAGATAAATGAGAATGAAAGCAATATAAAAACTTATGGGATGCAGTGAAAGAAGTGCTCAGAAGGGAACTTATAGCTGTAAATTCCAACATTAAAAAAGGAAAGGAGGGAGGGAGGGAAAGAAAGAAAGGAAAGAAGGAAGGAAGGAAGGGATTAGAAGGGAGGGAGGGAGGGAGGAAAGGAAGGAAGTAAAGGAAGAAATAAAGGAAAGAAAGAAAAAGAAAGGAAGGAAGAAAGGAAAGAAAGAAAGAAAGAAGGGAAGAAAGGGAAGGAAGGGAGGGAGGGAGGAAGAAAGATCTCAAGTTGTGACCTAACCTTACACATTAAAAACTAGAAAAAGGAGTAAACTAAGCTCAAAGCTAGCAGAAAAAAAAGGCAAATAAATATCTCTTATCAATACAGATGCAAAAATACTCAACAAAATAGCAAATTGAACTCAACAGCATTTTAAAAGGATCATTCACTATGACCGTGTGATTGATCCTAGGAACAAAAGAATGGTTCAACATAAGGAAATCAATCAAAGGGGGAAAAAAACACAAGACCATCTCAATTGGTGTAGAAAAGGCAATTGACAAAATCCAACACCCTTTTATGATGAAAGCCCTTAGAAAACTAGGAACAGAGGGAAATTCCTCAACATGATAATGGGTACCTATTTTTTTTAAAAGTTAACTTTAATGGTGAGTGACTGAAAGCATTCCCCCTAAGATTAGGAGCAAGGCAAGGATGCCCACTCTCACCACTGCTATTCAACATTGTACTGGAAGTTATAGCTAGAGCTATTAGGCAAGAAAAAAAATAAAAGCCATCCAAATTAGAAAGGAAGTGGTAAAATTATCTCTGTTTGCAGATGACATGATCCTACTGATTGACAATCCCACAGAATACAAAAGAAAGCTACTAACACTAATAAATTAATTCATTAAAGTTGCAGGCTACAAGATCAACCAAAAAAAATCAGTTTTATTTCTATACACCAGCAAAGAACAAACCAAAAAGTAAATTTAAAAAGCAATTCCATTTACAATTGCTTCTAAAATAATTAAATACCTAGGAACGAATCTACGCATGGAGGTGAAATACTTGCATACTAAAAACTATAAAAAATTGCTGAAAGAAGTTAAAGACCTAAATAAATTAAAAGATATCCTGTGTTCATAGATAAGACTTAACATTGTTAAGATGTCAATAGTACCCAAAGTGATCTAAAGATTCAATGTCATCCTTATCAAAATTCTAACATCCTTTTTTACAGGAGTGGTAAAACTGATCCTCAAATTCATTTAGAATTCCAAGTGTATAATTTTATACAGACTTTTCTTGACCTACAATAGGGTTACATCCTGATAAACCCATCACATGGTGAAAATGTCATAAAAGTCAAAAATGCATTTAATACACCTAACCTATCAGACATCATAGCTTAGCCTGACCTACTTTAAACCTGCTCAGAGCACTTGCATTAGCCTAGAGTTGGGCAAAATCATCTAACACAAAGCCTATTTTATAATAAAGTGTCAAATATCTCATGTAATTTATTGAATACTAAGTGAAAATAGAATGGTTGTATGGGTACAGAATGGTTGTAAGTGTATCAGTTATTTACCCTCATGATCACATGGCTGACTAGGAGCTGTGGCTCACTGCTGCTACCCAGCATCATAAGAGAGTATCCTATTGCATATAGCTAGCCCAGGAAAACCCCAAAATTCAAAATTTGAGGTACAGTTTCTACTGAATGTGTATTGCTTTATAAAGTTGAAAAATTGTGCAAAGTCATACCGTAAGTAAGTCAGGGACTGTCTATACAATTTAAACATCTCTTCTCTCACTGTTCACATTTCCTGCCTAAA